AATATACTTTTGAAAGGCATTGGGGGTCAGAGGATCTTCAGCTAAGAGAAATTGAGGACTCCACCTTGTCTAAGGACCCAGTGGTATTTATTAAACACAATTTGTCCCAAGACAAGGTGGAAATATACACTTCAAAGGGTAAGGTATCAAAGGGTACAGAAGCATTGTAAGTTTGGGGAATAGCCTATATAGCTGTTCAGATATTTGGCCAACAGGAGGCAACAAAATGCCCTGAGCTGTCTGGCAGCAGAATATCCTATTCAGTTTTGGGTGAAGTGCTGTTTAGCAGTTTCCAACAGGTAAATTACATATGTGGCTCACCCTTGTTGAACCACCCAAGCCCCATCAAACTTTTGATGGAACTCTTGTAATTATTACTTGCTGGAATTGGTTCCCGGCAATCCCTGGTTCAGATCTTATAAAAATCAAGTTCACACAAAGATGATAATACTAGTCAAACAGTTAAGTTGTGCTTACTATGTACCAAGCACTGTTCTAAGTACATTATGTGTGTTAACTTATTTAATTCTCAGAGAAACCCATAAGGTTATTATCAATGAGGAAACTTACAGATGAGAGAACTGAGGCACAAAGAGACTAAGTGACTGAGCTAGGAAGCAGGAGAGCTGAGATTCCAAGCCAGCCTCATTTCAGAGCCCATATCCTTAGCCACTGAAACTGTACTGTCTTCTGTTAGCAAAGGCTGTCTTTGCTTGTCCCCCAGGGGCTATAGTTCAAAAGGAAATGTGAAATCCAGTTTATAGACACTGTTATTTTTGGTTATCAGGCTCTAGGATAAAAGATAAAATAAGGTCTAGGGTAACCTTAGCAGTAAAAAGAAAGTGGCATTTGAACTTTCACCTTCCTCTCCAGTTAACATTTCCAGTCTTTCTACCTCCGCCAGCACTCTGCCTTCTCAGCTGAGAGCAGGTGAATGGGAAAGGAGGGACATGGGTACTTAAGGAGCAGAATAAGGGAGTTCCTTTGTCCAAATCACATGGCTGGGGACATTTTCTGAGTGGCCATTTTTAATGATCATTTTTGTTTGAGGACCACATCTCTCTATATAAAAGCCTAAGCAACTGAAGGGTAGTCGACCAGTAGTTATGATGTGTACTGAGCACCAGGGGGCAGATGCTCAATGCAGGAGCTACCCCCTGGTGGTCACTGGGCTCCCATAGTAGGAGCACTGCTCAGCCGGAAGCTGGGCTCATGGCTGGTGAGCACAGCTATGGCAACATGAGCCTCTCCTGCCTCCGTGCAGGGCTACCGAGCTGCAGTGGCAGGTGCAGTGGGGCCAGGATGAGCAGAAGCAGTGCCTGCCCTAGCTCAGGCTCCTCCCCAGCTGCCTGCTGCTTTGTGCATCTCTATGGGGTTTGGGCCTAAACCAGCAGCCTGACATCTCTTGAGGACTCCTGGATTGTGAGAGGGTGCAAGCCAGGCTGAGGGACTTCACCAGGTACAAATTTGTGCACTAGGCCTCTAGTGTACATATAAAGAGTTACATGTTTTTAGTGAATAAAATGATATATCTTTCATAATGGCTAAAGAGAATCCTTTTAGAACTGTTTATGTTTTCCTTAGTTGGTTAACAACAATGTATTAAGTACTATGCTATGTCCCATATTGTGATAGTATTGTAAATATGGTGAGCCAAAAGGGACACGAGTCCTGCCCTCCCTGAGCTTACAGTCTACTCATCCAAATACTGACTGAGTATAAGGTGCAGCTCTGGTGAGTGTTGCAGACAAAGGCCATTGGTTTCAAGAGAGCAGCATGGCCGAGGTGGGCAGAGCATGTGGGGCCTGTGTTAGAATTTTGACTTAGCTGTGTCAGAATTTTGACTTAGCCTCAGTGCAGTAAAAGTCACACTGGGGAGGAGGTTGGGGAGTTTATGTCATATAACCAGAGTTATACTTTCTTTTCAAAGGCAATGTGACTATACTGGGAAGAACAAATTAGAGAGGGTGTGTAGGGATACTTGGAGGAGTCCAGCCCAAGAGGCCCAACAGTTTGGGCTGGAGTGGTTTTGGTGGTGGAGTGAAGAAGTAGAAGGATTCTAAAGATGTTTGGAAGGCAGAGTTAGCTAGATTTGATGATATATTAGATGTGGGTGGTAAGGAAGAGGGAACGGGTAGGAGGATAGTCATCCTATGACCAGAGGTTGGAATGCTGGAAGAAGGTCAAGTTTGGAGTGTATGATCAGCTTGTGTTGGAGGGGCTTTTGAGCAGTCTCAGAGGGGATGTCAAACAGCTACACTTTTTATTGTGAATTATGTACTGGGTTGTAAATAAGGCCTGATGGACTATCCTGGGAAACCAAGTATTGGAAAATTTTTAAAAATCTATAATTTGTTAATTAAAAAAATCCAAGCAAACATATTTTCATTTAGAAAATAAGAATCTAACAATGACCAAGGAAATTAATAAAGGTAAACATCTTGCATAATTTCCCTATCTTCATTTTTGTATGTTTCTCTGGCAGTTTTTCCCCCTAAGCATTCACATTTTAATTAGTTGTCATTATAATCTACATCCAGTGTGTAATAGGATTGTTTTCACTTACAATTATCCCAAACATTTTTCCTTATTCTTATATCTCTCTCAAATGCTGTATTTAGAATATGTAGCATAGTATTTCATGCTTTTGATAAATCATGGATTATAAATTTCTAAGCAATTTCTCTATTTTGGATATTTAGTTGATTTTAAGATTTCATTATTAAAAGTAGTAATACTTCAATAAATATTATTATACATAAGTTTTTTTTTCATAGGTGGCATTTTTCTTAGGTTGAATTCTTTTGAATGGGATTAGTGGGTCAGAGCATATGAATAGGTGTACAGCTCTTGATGCTTATAAAGGAAGATATTTAGAAGCATGGACAAGGCTGTGGAATGCTCACTGTAGAATAGAGTTGTGACCTCCACATGGGGTGTTATCACATTCCTTTGGATTCAGTAACCAGTGGTCCGAACCATATGAGTGTGTGTGTGTGATAAAGTCCCATGGCACCTGACCTTTCACCTTGCATTACTAATTGTGCCAATCACTGCCTAGAGATTACTGTAGGGCTTGCTCTCTTGTTCACCTAGCCTGGCTCTGACTCCCCTTTCAGGTTTTCTCTTCTTAGGATAGTGCCACAAATCTTAGGAACCAGTGGGAGCCCTAAACTAGTAGTATCCCAAAGGGATCATCTAAACTGGACTGAACTTCAGAAGCCTTCAGGTTCTAAAAGTCTGCAGTGGTGTTGCAAAAGGTGCTTAGGGGTTTGGATGGGGTTCTCAAGACCTTCCATGACCCTGTCTATTACTGTCACTCTGTCTTTCATTACCATTGCTTCTTAGCATATCACCCATAGCATGCCCTAGACTCTGTTCTGGTCCAGGGTGATGCCTTGGTTACATCTACTCCTGGCTCTCACTGAAGCTGCTTCTGCACCCTCTGCCTTTCCAAGTCCTGCCTCTCCTTTCAGACTCTACATAACTTGTGATTCCTTCAGGTCATTGGTTCTGAGTTTCCAACCAACTGTCCCTGTGGTGTGAACTTTTACAGTACCTTTAGTCCTCATTCTAGGACTTAGCACATAAGTGTAAGCTTTCTGGTAAAATTTGCTTTTGAATTGTTTACCCTTCTGAAGGGCAGGAAAAAATGTCATACTTTCCCTCCCAGAGCCTAGCTTTAGTGCTGAGTCCTTTGCCAGAGTTCAATAAATCTAATGTGACCCATTACATAAAAATATATGCACTATGTTAGGCAATGTGAAAGCAATCTAGCCATGGTTATGCATTTTTAAAAATATATATTTTATTGATTTTTTACAGAGAGGAAGGGAGAGAGATAGAGAGCCAGAAACGTCGATGAGAGAGAAACATCGACCAGCTGCCTCCTGCACACCCCCCACCGGGGATGTGCCCGCAACCAACGTTCATGCCCTTGACCGGAATCGAACCTGGGACCTTTTGGTCTACAGAATGATGCTCTACCACTGAGCCAAACTGGCTTCGGCTGGTTATGCATTTTTGATAAAATGCCCATATTCAAAAGTTGTTGAGGATATTAAATTACTCATAGATGCACCATATTCAGATATTCCCGATCTGGTTGCTGTTTGGTGTGATGGTAACAAATTAATGCTGGAAAACAATCACATGGTCATTTAAAAAAAAATATATTTTTTTATTAATTTCAGAGAGGAAGAGAGAAAGAGATATAAACACCAATGATGAGAAAGAATCACTACTCGCTGCCTCCTGCATGCCCCACACTGGAGATCAAACCCCAACCTGGGCATGCGCCCTGACGGGAATCAAACTGTGACCTACTGGTTCACAGGTTGTAGCTCAACCACTGAGCCATGCCAGCTGAGTCACATGGTCAGTTTTCATTCTTAAATCCTTGATATACACTGGGATGGGAAGGATAATTGGTGGAGGAGACCAGGGTGCATGAATAGTAGTAGCAAGCACTAGAGTATTTGTTTGAGCTCTAAGAAGGTGAGTATCTTTGGCTCCTGGGAACAGTGCTTGAGCCGTAGTGAAATGATATGTTCTTGAAAAGTTGGTCTTAATGTGACCCCGCTGTTTTTATGACTCACTTTACTGATTGGGTCTTCAGTGGAAGCCACCCAGTCCCCCTGGAAGCTGGAGCTTCCCTTGTTCTCCAGGGATGGCCTGGCACAGTGGGGACCCTCTGGCTAGGAGGCAGGAGCTCTCAGGCTGGACTGGCACTGCCTCCACCTACTGCACAGTCCTGCCTAAGGCCAGGCTTTAGCACACTTATTTGCAAAGTGACATGTTCGCAAAGCCCATCTCTAGGCTGTCCTGTAAAAGATCAAAGCCACAATACTTGAAACTGTCATAGAGGGTAAGCTTTGGTGTTATTTTTAAATAAAAATGAGAAGCAGGCTCTTTGACACATTTAATGACATGTGTTAGCATGTGTGTAGAACTTTACACTTAACTTGCATTTCTTTCTTTCTCTCTTTCTTTTTTTATAGCCAAACATCATGTCAATGGCAACAGAACAGTTGAACCTTTCCCAGAGGGAACACAGATGGCTGTATTTGGTAAGATATCAACTCTGAAAGAAAACCCGAATCGTGAGTACAGACTAGTGCCAAATTTCTGAGTTTTAGCAAGTGTTCTCAGGGTTTCAAAATCTGGGCTCTTCCAGATATGTACAAATCATCGGAGCCAACCCCTCCTCCCTCCAAACTACTGAGTTTTTAGTATTACTGGGATCAGAAAAGCTTATTCTATATATTTTAATATGTTTTTCCCCCTCACCTTGCAGACCAAATATCAAACTGTGCATTTGCTACTTCTTAAGTCCACTACTGTGAATTAACCTGGTCATTTAGGGCTTGTGTTTTTCTTTGTGGGGAGGGATTTTTTTTCTTCTACGTCGATATATATCTTTGTTGAATTCTGGCTGGAATTCAAGTAGTTTTGAATTATTTCACAAAACTTGGTCTAGTTGAATGACCTATGACTCTTCCATTATGAATTGAGCATATTCCTTAGGAGGAAACATCTATCTTCTATCTATACTAATCTATAGTAATAAAGGGGTAATATGCTTATTAGACTGGAAGACCTTCTGGGAGACCTTCCAGACGTCCTTTTGGACAAAGCCATGGTGGCGGGGCTGAGGCAGAGACTGTTAAGGATGATTAGGCGAGGATGGGAGGGCAGTTGGGGATGATCAGGCCAGGGGGGGTAGGTAGTGGGGGGGATTGGAGGTGAGCAGACCAGTGGGGGGCAGTGGAGGGAGGGGCGTGAAGCAGTTGGAGGCTCAGGCTGGCAAGGGGGGGGGCAGTTGGGGGCGAGAAGGCCAGCAAGTGGAGGAAGTTGAGGGTAAGCAGGCTGGCAGGCAGAGAGGTTAGGGCGATCAGGCAAGCAGGCAGGTGAGCAGTTAGGAGCCAGCGGTCCCGGATTGTGAGAGGGATGTCCAAGTTGGACATCTCCTGACAGGTCCCAGATTGGAAAGGGTACAGGCTGGGCTGAGGGAACTCCACCCCCCTCCTTCCATCCCCTACCACGATGAATTTTATGCTCAGGGCCACTAGTCAATTAAAATGTTTTAAGTTGAAAAAAAAAATGTGATCTCTGAATGTATACAGGGGTGGGCAGAAGAAGATTTACAGTTGTAAGTACCCAACAGGTGGACAGGTGGATGAGGGCCAGTGGCATGGCCACCACAGTCTCCAGACCTCTCACCCCAGAGGACTTTTGGGTGTTGTCAAAGATAAAGTCTTTTCACAGAAATCGCATACTGTGAATGATGTGATTGCTGAATAAGAGAAGCATGTTAAAAGACTGAAGACAATAAAGAGCTCTGTGCCAAAGTGCTTGAGTGTAGAAAGTAGAATGCAAGTATGTGACATAACAAAGGCCGGCAATTTGAGCACTTACGAGATTGTACCTAAGTGCACTGTGCATTGCACCATTCTTTTGAGTTAATAAAACTATTGTAATAATCATAACCTGCATGTCTTTTTCCATAGAAACTACTGTAAACCTACTTTTGTCCACCCTTCTTCAAAGGAGTGCTATTATATGGTGGAGCAGCACTTCTCTGTTAGATTCTAAACCTTTTGGTGGGGAAGTCCTTTTTTTAAATTTTTATTTACTTTAAAAAATGTATTTTTATTGATTTCAGAGAGGAAGGGAAGGGAGAGAGACAGAAACATTAACGATGAGAGAGAATCATTGATTGGCTGCCACCTGCATGACTCACACTAGGGATTGTGTACTAACTGGGAATTGAATTGTGACCTCCTGGTCAATTTTCAACCACTGAGCTGTGATGGCTGGATGGGAGCTTATTTTTAATTCACGATTTCTCACCTGCTATCTGATATCACCTAAACTTCCTTCATCGGGCACTTTCTCCCTTCCTTTCCTCCTTCACTGTTCTTCCTTGTATTCACTTCCTGTCTGCCCTCTCCCCCTCCTCCTCCTCCCATCTTCTTTCCAACAGTGTTCTGGGACCCACCCCTTAGCATCTTCTCAGGGATCTCCATCTCTGTTCTCTGGATTTTCAGCTTTTTGTTCTGGTTTCTTCCTGCCCGCCTTCAGACAGGTTCTGTGATCTCTTCCATCCTATAACCTGCACTCCCCCCCCCCCCCCAAACAAAACAAAACAAAACAAAACAAAAAAACAGAAAAAAACTTCATTGGCTTCTCTGGCATTCCCTTGCCCTGCTCTGGATGGCAGTTTCTTGCAAGGGCTTTTGTTGTATCACTGCTTTTAGCATTGAATTTTCTTTGAGCTGGAAATTAGACTCAGACAACCCATATCTATATTAGCCTACTCAGGATAAAATGTTTCCTTAAGCCCAGAGCTGGAATCAGAGTTTGCAATCAGTGGTGACTTACTGTTGAAGATTATGAGACAGAGAGCTCATCCTGGCTAGGCATTTGTACATCTTGCTCTGTATGGGCTGTCACCTTTTGAAATATCAGTGGTTAGGGATTATTATACTCAGACATTTAAATGAAGGACTTGATTTTTTAAGAACTAAGCATAATGCACCCTCTAAAAATGTGTGCCACATATTTGACTCATAACTCTCTCTGAGGAAGGAAGTGCAGGTGAGGCCATTTTACCTAAGTTGTCGGCTCAGCACAGTGTCTGTCACCAGGGGTCACAAATGTCCCATCAGTGTTCAAAGGGTTCTTTTGAAGCTGTTTTTATCTTTTAGATTCTTCAACCCTGAGACACTAGGTTTCGTGTCATATTAGGAAATGTAAAATAATACCTGTCTTAGCACATTTCCCTCTGTTCTGATATAGGGGGAAACTTGGTTTCTGAAGGACAGTCCTAGTACCAGGCAGGTAGATTCAGAAGTGCCTTTCAGCTAGATCCATGCACAAGAGTGCGATTTCCAGCTAAGCCAATTTGGCAAATGGACCTGTGAATTTCTATGCATTCCCAGGGTGCTCTGAAGGGCTCTTGAGCCACAGCTTTTGCTTGTAGTGACATCTCCAACTATTTATCTTTCCCATTGTTAGTAGCATGTAATATAGAGGAGAATGTCTTACATATACTAGTACTTGACTGTGACTTCACTGAAGCAACAATAGCACTTTCTACTTGTCCAAACTCATTCTTCTCTCTTGGAGGTTTTAATATTTTATGCCAAAATTGCCTTACTAATTTCATTATCCCTTTTTTAATCATTTGAATGTACCATAATGTTGAAATAGGAGCTTTTAAATTTAATCCACTCTGAAAGTGGTCATTGAACTGCCAGTAGGCATTTATATTGGAGTGGCTACTGTAAGGAAGGGTAGAGTGAGGGACAGGGCATGCTCCATTGTGAAAAATACATGAATATGTTATTGTATCAAGTGACCAGAAAACATATATAAGGTGTCCCGAAAAACTGCATATGCATTAGGAATGATTATAAAGTCAGTGTTTATTAATATACAGTTCATTTTCAAAATTTAAAAGAATCTAGAAAAATGAATGATTTTTTTGGTCCATGCTTATTTTCAAACTGATGACCATTCTGGTCTAGGCACTGCTGATAATGCAAAGCAATGGAATCACAAACATCAAGAATCATTTAGTTCAATTGATGTACACCTTCAATCCATTAATCATACACCTTCAATTCCTCAACTGTTGCTGGTTTTGTACCTTAAACTTTATCTTTTATGTACTCCCATAAAAAAAAGTCTAGTGGCATTTAAGGATAAAATTTATTTGTTCAAAGCTTAGTGTGACTTCACCCATTATTTCAAATTAGTTAAGCCTGAAAAGGAGTGAAAATTAAGAGAGTCATCAGCTATTAAAGTGTGTATATATTTTTGGGGGATACCCTTTAGATTATTTCCTAGTTTCTGGCCTTTAATCTTCACAGATTATTATTATTTTTATTAAGGCAGAAGGTGTGTGTGGTTTTTAAAAATATATATATATATATTTTATTGATTTAGAGAAGAAAGAGGAGAGAGAGAAAAAGAGAGAGAGAGAGAGAAACATCAATGAAGAGAGAGAGGATCATTGATTGTTTGCCTCTTACATATCCCCTACTGGGATCAAGCCCACAACCCAGGCACATGCCCCTGACCAGAATCAAACCTGGGACCCTTCAGTATGTAGGCTTACGCTCTATCCAATGAGTCAAACAGGCCAGAGCCTTCATAGATTAATTTTAAAGTTAAGATGTTCATCTTTTCAGATTTTCTTTGTGGCCCATTGGTAAGTTCCTGTCTTGATTTTCTGTGACCACAGTTCTTTAGCTTCTGTGTTGCGCTCTGTCCTCTGCACTTTAGGACAATGATAATGAAGGCAATAGGCTCTGCTCTCCCATGGGTTTCTCCCTGTCTGTGTATGATGCTCTCTTTCAAGTCAGTGGGAGACCTTTTTTTACAAGCTGGAGAAGCAGAATCGAACATTTTGCAATTACTTAATGCCTTTGTTCCCGGGAGCTGAGAGGGCCCCATGGCTAACATCCCTTTAATCCTTCACTGGCCCTGTGAAGTTGGCTTTATTGTGCACCTTTAGAGACAGAGAAACTGAGTCACCCAAAGATGAAAGAAATCTGGTCAAGTAGAGGGAATGCTTTCTCAGGCACGGGGACATCCACATTACATTTGCCAGCAGGCTCTACCTGACTCAGAAAGGTCTCTCGGCTCTCAATAGCTTATTGAAAGTGACAACCCTTTGGCAGAGGGCCACTCTGTCCACGCCAAGAACACATGCTACAGCCTCTCTGTGGTGGCTGTAGCACAGAGCAGCGTTATATTTTATTAAAAATATTCCATGGTCAAGAAGATTTATTTTTTCAAAATAAAATAAGAGCTTATTGAGACGAGTGCAGAAAAGTTGGGGTTGGGATTCCTGTCTTAATTTGTGAAGTTTTTAGTACAATTTAAAAAACTGAAATTATAATGTTGTGTTTTTTTTTAAACTTTAAAGTATGGTACTTGACCATAAATATATTATTCAAAGCAGGATACTTTTGAGAGTGAAAGGAGTTCTGTTAAAAATGATCCTGAATAATAAAGAGCTAATATGCTAATTAGACCGGACAGCAGAACAACTTTCCAG